CGCTGGTTTTGAGTAACTAAGTCGCCAGTTTCAGCTCTCAAATTGCTAAGCACTCCCCACTCCCACTGGGCTTGAATATGCTCAGCACCTCCAGAATCACTGAGTCACTTGCTTACAGCTGATTTACTCCAGAGCCAAAGGAAAACAGGCACCTTCCCTTGCAAAATGTGACTTTCTTATTCCAAGTGAAGGAGCTAAAGGCAACACAAGGCCCAGAAAAGCTCATACTGAAATGCTGAACTTTGCAAATGACTTATTGAGGGTTCATTTTTCATATTTCAAATTGCTTCTTCCTAATGAACTTCTGTCACGGTTAGCAAAAGCAAATAAAAAATCACCAAGTGCTCATTAACAAATATAATATTTCTATTTGAGTAGAATAAAAGGTACTAGATACTGTTTAAATCTGCAGTTCAGCTGTTTGTCTGGCTCTCCCTGGGCTGGCCAGACAGCTAAAGGTTACTTATTTCCCAACACGTAGCAGAGACAGAGAGTGAGAGACAATTTCTGCCCAAGAATATTGAATAATCAATCAAGGCATATCCAAGATGAGATAATATTTAGCATCCCCTTGGCAGGGATAAGAAGAGCTCAGCAAGGGCCTGGGTAGCTCCACCTCACCCTACCCGAGCCACGGAACAGTTAGGCCCCTCTGTCCCTTGGGTGCTGCATCTGTGACCAGTGACAGTCCCTCCGAGGGTCCCAGCCCCTCCAGGACACCAGAACTGCTCTTTGCTGGACAACCAGCCTGGTTTTGGCGCCCAGAGCTGAAGGACACCTCACTCCAGGAGACTCATCTGCTGTAAGAGGGAGGAGATCCCTGCTGTGCCCCATGTGGGGACTGGAGCTCCTCACTGCTGGATTTGCAGGGCACACTCACCCTCCTGGCATTTGCCTGAGGAAGCAGCACTGTGGCTTCTGCTCCTTGCAAAGCTAGGGCTGGGAGGGGCCGTGGGGAACAGGTTGCTGACTGGATGGAAGCCTGTCAGAGCCAAGGGCCATGCAAGCAGTGAGCTCTCTGCTTCCACGGCTGCTTCCCTGCCCAGCTCTTCCCTCAAGGCACTGGGCAACCCTGGCAGTGTTCACAGCCAGGTTAGATGAGCCTTGAGCAACCTGCTCTGGTGGGAGGTGTCCCTGCCCAGGGCAGGGGTTGGATCATCTCTCAGCTCCCTTCCAACCCCTTCACGTACTGTGACACAACAAGAAACTCACGTGGGCTTCTCCCTGTGAAGCCAGAGGGTCTCTGAGGGACAGGTGCCACTCCATGGGAAGCTCTGTGCCAGCTGTGCCCTGGCAGCAACACGTGGCTGAGCAAGAGCAGCTGGATTAATCCCATCCTGCCCAGTGCTCCAGGGAATTGCTCTTTCCAGCTAAGTGAGAAAGGTCAGTCAGGAAGGAAGCTAATATTTTCAGGCGTATTAAACCACTTGGTATTGGCTGAGGAATCATCACAAATGACTAGGCAGCTTGCAAATGTTAAAGCCAATTAAACCAGGAGAGACAAGGCCAAGGAGGAAATAAACTGGAGCTGCAGAGGAAGAAAAAGAGAGATTAGCATTTGGAAAAGCAGAGAAATTACTCTGATGGCCTCACATTTGCACATACTTTCACCACATCCAACCCAGGAAGAAGAAATATCTCTGGCTTTTCCACAATCTCTCCCCAGAGCACCACCAATGGTCCTTGGCTCTCTAGTTCCAGCCCCAGAGGAGCTGTGCTCTGCCTTTCTGCAGTGACATCTGAGATGTGCTGAGGTGAGATGTGGGAGTAAGAGCACTGACAGAGCTCTTATTTGGGGATCTCCCTCCAAATGGGAGAAAATCCCACACAAATAAAGCTGTTTGAAGGCAAATCAGCTTGTCCTAAAGCCAACCCAAACACTCCTGAAGTTTGGTGAGGCTATTCCTGGTCGATGTTCTAGAAACTGCCAGAGGAGGAAAGAAAGAGCAGAAAAAAACCCAACCAAACCCAACAAGGACAGCCCAGAAAGTGTGCAGAAAACATGATTTCCAGGAGTTCTAGCCCCAAATGTTTGAAACACAGGAGTGAAGACTCAGAAGTATGAGATTGATGTAAAAAAAGGATTAATTTCTATCAGTCCATGCACCAGTGACCTCCTTGTCTCTGCTCACTCTTCCTGGCCTTGTGGGCTCCACATAGGACACACTCTGAGCACATCCTTGATGGAGACACATACTGAATTGTAATTTTGTTTTAGCTGCAATTACAAATGTCCTTTATCACATGAGCACCAGTGAAATAAGGGGCAGCAGTGCCAGGGCCTCACTGTCCCAGGGGACTTGCTGGGCTGATGAGGATGAGCTGAACCAGACTGGAAGTGTCCCTGCCCATGGCAGGGGAGAATTGAGATGAGCTTTACAGTCCCTTTCAACCCAAACCAGTCATGATTCTGTGATCTCAGTTCCTGGAGGCATTTTGGTTTCAGCCAGCTATACAACCAGATGTCCTCAGCTCCCACCGCAGTGGTGAGGCACCTGCAGCCTCCAACCTGCACAGCCTGGAGCTGTTGTGTCACTGCTGCCCGTGGGTGCAGAAATCTGGTTATGGAGCTGTGCTGAGCCTCTCCCTTGGCAGGAAGGTAGGTGTGTGACACAGCACACATCCTCTCAGCTCTGCTTTCCGTCACGGCCCCATCCTGACACCGCCTTGCAGGGGCAGCAGCCTCTTCTCTGATGCCTGCTGCAACCAGCTTGTTGTTCATGAGAAACTGCTCATTCCTTTGAGATGGAGATGTGAAGTTTGGCTGCACCTGGAGCTGTTCCTGGAGTAGCTGTGCCAACGTGTGTCCCTCAGCACCACAGGGGACACAGCCTGGCTGAGCTGAGAGGCCTCACTGAAATGAAATCAGTTCCCTCAATGGTCTAGCCACTGGCAGCACAACTGGACTTGGTCCCTCAGGTGTCCCCAGGAGGCTGTTCCAGGGCTGTGTGCTGTGGGACGTTGCTCTGACATCTCTAACTGTTCCCCTTCCTCCCTCACAGCTGCAGCAGCCTGACTGGGTGTCTGTGCCACTGGTGGATGCTCCCTCAGGTGTCACCCGGAAGCCACACAGCCCCATTTCACCCTGTGGGACATCCCCAACACCTCTAACCGTTGCCTTTCCTCGCCCACAGCTGACAAGGAGGCCGACGAGTACTACATGCGGCGGCGACACCTGCCCGACCTGGCGGCACGGGGCACGCTGCCCATCAACGTCATCAAGATGTCCCAGCAGAGCAACCCCCGGGACCGGCCGCGCCGCCCCGTCCGGGCCATGTCCCAGGACAGGGTGCTGTCCCCGGAGAGGATGATGCCCGAGGAGTTCAGCATGTCCTACGAGCGGATCCTGTCGGACGAGCAGCTGCTGTCGGCCGCGCTGCTGTCCCCGGAGCGCTCGGCCTACCCCGAGCAGTCCATGTCCCGAGCGCTGTCACACACAGATGTCTTTGTGTCCACCCCAGTCTTGGATCGCTACAGGATGTCCAAAATGCACTCCCATCCCAGTGCCTCAAATAACTTGTACAATACCTTAGGTATGAACCCAACGTCAGCCAAGCGCCAGGCGTTCGCCTCCCGACGGCACAACACGGTGGAACAGCTGCATTACATCCCAGGCCACCACCACCACTACCGCACAGCGAGCAAAACCGAGGTGACTGTCTGATGTGTGCTGGAGATGCTCCTTAAGGACTGGGGCGCCCGCAGCTCCCCACACTGCAGTGGCCTTATAGGCCAAGGTAACCTCTGATAACTCAGTGTCTGCAAAGACTTCTCTAACAGTCCCATCCACATCTGTTTTCCAGCCACCCCTTCATCGGTGATAGGAGAAGAACACGAGCAAGCAAAAAGACACTAGTGAGGGAGAGCAGAGGAAATTTCCTGATGTGCATCAGTTTCTGTCAAAGAAAGCCATAGTAATCGATGGCTCCTTCAAGGGCTCACCTGCATCATCCCATCGTTCCCATGACATTAGGACTCTTGAGTTGCTCCAGGTAGATGCAGTCCCATGCAGCCCAGGACAGGGAGGAGGAAACAGCACCCCATCCTGGCAGGAAGGGGCCCCGTGCTCACTCTTCATGGTTGGCCTTTCTGTAGCAAGCAGGAAAGTTCTGGCTGCTGGGGCTCACCCCCAGGCTGCTGAGGGCCTCCCCCAGGTTGTTTGGGATCACCCCCAGGCTGTGGGGGATCACCCTCAGACTGGTTGGGATTATCCCCAGGCTTCTGGGGGTCACCCTCAGGCTGGTGGGGATCACCCCAAGGCTGCTCAGTACCAGTCAGCACCCATCCATCTGTTCCTTGTCACCCTTGGAGCAAGTTCAAGGGCAGACTTTCCTAGGGGACTGGCAGATCTAGGGACAGAAGTAGCCTGGCTGAGGAATGAAGGTTTAGTTTCTCTTCAGTATACTCATAAGATAAAACATACTAGTGCCTACGAATCGCCTGCTCTCGGTGTAGGAAGTAGTGGGGTTGATGTGTTCAATAAGCACAAATATGCTGAAATGCTTGTTAGACCCTTTTTCTCCACTCATCCTAGTATCTTGGTGTCTCCAACATGTAAATAGGAAGGAGGAATTGGGGTTCTCTTCCTCCAGCTTCTTGCCCTTCTGCCGAACCCAGAGCAGCAGGACTCGTTCGGCTCCGCTGCTGGGGAGGTCCTGGCTGCACTGAGGCCCCTGCGAGGCACCTGCCACACCTCCAGCCTGGATTGCTCCCCACAGTTCTTTTCCTGATGGCATTTCCCACTGGCCCAGTTCCCCTCGTTCTGAGCACGTTTTTTCCTCTCAGTTCCCGCCTCGACCTCCATACCTAGCAGATCTTTTTCTAGCCCTCAGCAGCAGCACAGAGCTGAGGGTGTTGCCTACTGAAAAGCAGGTTGGTGATTTTCCATGATTTTCACTCCATGTAATGGCCCTCCCAAGAAAACCTTCCAAATTCCAGTTCCACCCATGAAGACAGTTCCATTTCATGCATAGAAATTATATAGCCAGCATAACTATAATTAATGGGCATGTTGTATATCTGATATAATGCTAATTAGGTACTGTATAGTTGTAAAATCAGACATAAACTCGCGGGTCCAGAATTTGTGAGGGTTTTAGCTTTGGCTTTCCAGCCACATTGGGCTTTGCTTCAGCTTATTGTTGGATTTGGGTTTGGTTTTCTTGATATTTTCCCCTTTTATTTGTGTTCCTATCAACTTCTGTGGAAGCAGCTCACAGCAGAACACACCTCTGGGGCTAGGAAAGGGTCTCAGGGGTCTGAAGGCCGAGCAGACCCAGTGCTGTCCCTTGGTGCTGGACAGTGCCCGTGGCGAGCGCTGCAGGTCCCACCACACGACAGCCGTGCTGCCCGTCCCGGCGTGGGCACGCGCCCTCCGCGTGCCACGGGACTGACTCCAGGCTGTAAGCACATCCCTCTGCACGTCTCTTCACTTCCTGCATTCCCACACTGTTTTCCCACATGGCTCTTCATTAAGCTTCATTGGACTTAGCTCTGCCCTTTACCCTCAAGTACCTCCTGGCCTTAATGACATTCCCAGCTCAGTCACAGCATCACAGTATGTGAAGGGGTTGGAAAGGACCTTAAGGGATCCTCCAGCCCCAACCCCTGCCCTGGGCAGGGACACCTCCCACCAGAGCAGGTTGCTCAAGGCTCATCCAACCTGGCTGTGAACACTGCCAGGGTTGGGGCAGCCACAGCCTCCCTGGGCACCCTGTGCCAGTCCTGTAGCAAACCATGATTGTAGGTCTTGAGCTTGAGTCTCCTGTGGAGCTTATGCTGCAGCACCAGGATTTTCTGCAGGAGGAGCACGTCCGTGCTGCAGTGGGATCTAAAGGCAGGCCACAGCAGGGTGGCCACGTGGCCTTTCTCTTCCCCAGACTGTCCTGGGCTGTCGGTCCTAGTTCCAGAGCTTTGTTGTGCCGCATCTGATGGAGACTGAAGGTTCCATCAGTGAGAGCTACTGAGGCTTTGTTTGACGGAAACTGAGCAGGGCGGGAACAAACCATAGTCTCCATGGTTCAGATGGCCATGAGTATGCAGCAAAATCATTCTGGGCAACAACCAGACCGTGGATCAGGGTGGCAGTTCATGGCGTGGGAGGGATGAGATAGAAGAGGCTCCCACCTCATCTCCTGACCCTTCCCTTGACAGACACTACTCTCCCCTGACTACCTCCAAGCTCCTCAGCTCAGTCACTGGATATTTCCTCCTGGAAGGCAGTCCCTGGGAAAATATTGCCCTTCTGACCTTCCCACAGACAGAAGATTGTGCTTGTGAAGCAAAGAGGAACACACATGGCTGGTGGGGAGGTTCCTGC